AGAGGTACTTTCTAAGGGAATTAGATCGTATACACGTTACGCATATGAAAAAACACGAAATTGCCCGTGCAGCCAGCCCATTCACTGGGATTCGAACATATCCGAATTACCAGTTTTGAAGTAGGAAAATGCTAAACGACTTAATGTTGTAAAAATATATCTTTTTACCTTTTTAATAGTTACAGTTTTTATAAAATAGATGGTAACTGGGTAGAAAATGAAGCATAAAATTCCATATGCTTTTCTGGCTGATAGATGGTTAATTTGAGTTTCATATTGAAATTCGGCTCTAAGTTTAAATACCTAATGACAGACTGAAATGGAATTTCCACATTTCAAACGCTAAACATTTACCATCAGACTAATACATTTGATGTTACTGCCTGAAAACTATTTGTTAATAAAATTTTTAATTAAAATCATTTTATTAAAAAAAGGGATAAGCGGAATGAAATAAACTTTGGGAAATTTAAAGTGAACAAATGGCAGTTCTTGTTAAAATATTCTTAATAATCAATTAGCACGCAATAACATTTTAAATAAGTAACTTAAATATTAGATAAGTTACTTATATTATAATATTATAACTTAAATATTAGATAGTTTAGCTCATAACTTAAATATTAGATAGTTTAGATTTTTCAGTCGACTTTTGGTGAAAAGTAACAAACAAATGAAACAAAGCCCTATTGGAAATAAATTGAATCAAATAATTCAACAAAAGCTACTGAAATGGTAGACTGTTAAATGTCTATTGCATCTTTATCTATGTGCAAAAGCAAAATCAAAATCTTTTCGAAATAACTTAATCATATATAGTAAACGCTTGCCGAACGCTGGGGTTGAGCATGCGGCAAAATTCCGTTCCACAATGTTAACTTTCTACGGGAAAAATGGGTTAGGTATATTTCATATTGAAAATGTATGAATAACTTATACAAACCTAAATAGTATTGTAATTAAAGGGACAAAATGAAACAAACGTTAATTAAAAGGATTTCTATTACTGCTTAATAAGTAGATGCATAATACAATTGTTTTGTTAAATAACTGGTAATTTTTTCTTGGGACAATTGAACCTTTCGAGTTTAGAAGTGTAAAGTATTTCAATACCTGCCGTAAAGTGCCCTTTTCTTTCTTCAGCTTTGTCAAGCTTCATTACTTTTGTATAGCCAATACAATGAGATGACCTCAGAGTCACGTTACATGAGTATAGCTAATGTAAACAAACAAGGTCATTCTTCCTTCTTTTTTCTTTGCGAAATATACCTCATTTTAATTTACTTACGTTTTTCTGACACGAGAAGATATCAGCCCGAGCAGAAAAATGAAAATCTCATCAGAAAAAGAGCATTTTAATAAATTTTGTTCGAACTGCTCTTTCGATCACACTGCTACAGAACTGGAAATTTTTTCGTGTGAAAAACTATAATGTTTAGCTTAAAAAAAAGGTAAATAATCTTTAAATATCTAATTTTGCTTTTTAACATTCGAAAATGATGTTGAAAATTTCTATTACAATATATTTTTTATTTATTTAGGCTCGGATTTTATGATGAATGTCTACATAAATATTTGTTTTGTAAATACTGAAAATGAAAACATTACATAATATTTGCTGAACACTCTGAAAAATTTCAGATTATCATATCATTCGAAATTTCGTTTAAAATTTGTTACATTTACCTTTTATCCAAATCCAAGTTACATAGCACATTTTTCATTGAAACTAACTTTTTTTAAAAAGAATAAAAATGATTTTGGGTTCTGGAATTATAAATTATGATTTAAAAATCTCATTGAAAATTGGATACAAACATATCAAGACATTTGGTAGAAACCCAAATTCGTTTTCGCACCACTGACTAATAAAAAGTGTCGTCTAAACTACATTTCCAAATTAATACAATTTTCAAGAATTTTAACGAGAAAAAACACTTTTATTTATCATTTAGAAAAAATATTGTTTTTAAAAAATTCTCATTTCCTTTTCAATTATTTCGTAAGCAATCATCGCTTTTAAAAACAAGAGCATAAATTTACTCTTAAAATATGCTTATAATAATTTCTTTTATGAGCATTCAGAAAATAACGATAAGCTTAAATCGGTAAATTATGGAAATAAACATAATTCAAGTAATAAAATGTTCATTAAACACAAAAAGCTTCAGTATCAACGTAAAATTACTATCTAATTCCAAATACTATTTACAAGGCATTTGTAAGACTTTCAGTAGAGAAGTCTTGATTTACTGCTTTTAATCACTTACGAGAGAACCCCGCAAAGTCTTCTAGATTACCTTCTTCAAAGCGAACGAATTTAAGTTGCAAGCCGTGTTTCCTTTCCTTTAATTATTCTGCCATCTAATCTAATAATCTGCCTGGGTTTCATAAAAGGCTCATGGGATGGAAGTTAAAGTTAATTTATTACTTTTCAACGGTGTGCATACATCCCGGAAGTGGTAAAGTATTGTACCGATGTATGCAACGAAATGGTTAGGAACTTAGGAACTACATTTCAGATGTAGCTGATTAGAATATTTTCAAATTAATCTTAGAAAAAAATTATTCGATTTATAAGAATGACGAAATTTAACAGATAAAATAAATATTACATACTCACTTGTTAGTGATTCAGGTTAGTTCGAAATATTTTGTTGAAGTTGCTCTGATTTTTTTTTCAATAATATACAAATGAATTGAAATGTCAATGAAACATAATTACATGCGGTTAATGTATGACATATACTAGTTATAGTTGAAAATATGCAAATACGATATTTCTAATCTTGGTTTTTATAATATTTGAAATTAAAAGGGAAAGAAAAAAATAAGACTGCACAGATTTCAATAATACTCTATCGGTTTCGATAGCGATCAGACATAGGTTTCTCTTTTTTAGGAAAAAAATGAATTGCAAATGTACGAGGGGTTACAACAGTATTTATATAAAAACCATATTTATGAGCAAACATATATTTATATTATCATATTTATGAGTAAAACAAAAATAAAACCAATATTGCACTATCTGCCCAGCGAAACAGCAAAGAAAAGTGAGAAAGGTAAGTTTCTGAATTCTGAATTCCTCCCGGAGAGGAATTAACTCCTTTTAATAAAGAAGATAAATATTTGTAAATATGAAATGCTTTACAGAAATCAAATTCGCGAATATTTACCTTTATTTAAAGACCATTTCTGGAAAATTTTTGCAGAAGCAAAGACAAAATTGTGATTAAATGCCCATAAAATGGAATATAGAAATATACACTGGTTATCATAAATTAAGGAAAAATCACAAAAATAGGGATAACTCCCTCAAAAATAAGCCAAACCGTGTAAAATTTGAATATGATGCCAAGTAAGATTAGCTAAATAAAACTGCATTATGGAAATTAGTGGCGCTGCACTCAGAATACGATATCTGCGAGGAGAATAAATATCCATGCTTGAGAGCAAACCCACATATTTTACTGTGATAGTGACATCAATAATCTGAGATAGCCAATTCGTAACAATGACCTCCAGGCATCATTTGCCTGCAGAATTTCGATGGAGAGCCATTGGGAGACTAGAGGCAGGATGAAGCCAAACAGAAGTGGCCAGATGGCTAAATGTGAATCCTTCTGTGGTTCATAGATTTTGGAGGCGATTTCAAACCACAGATTCGGCATCTAGGAGGTTCAGCCAAGGACGGTCAACTGCTACAACGAGCGCCGATGACCGATATTTGACATTATGTGCACGCAGAAGTAGAACCGTTACTCCGACTTAGCTTAGATCCTCCCTTGCTGCAGGCACCGGAAGGTTGGTGTCAACGTCAACTGTGCGTAGAAGGTTTCAGGAAGGTGGTCTGTATGCGAGCGACGAGCCATTTGTGTGCCGCTCACGTCAGGACATAGGAGGGACCGTTTGCAGTAGACACGCCACATGTCTACTGGACGCCTGATCAGTGGAGGGCTGTTCTCTTTACGAATGAGTAAAGGTGTGGTGGTGTGGTGTATTTAATTATGGCAAAGCACACTAGGGCTATCTGCCTAAGGGGAGGGATGCCTTAGTGGAGGACTTTCTAAGGGAAACTGGCTCGTATACACGTTACACATGGGGAAAACCACGAAAACGACCATGCAGCCAGCCCGTTCGCGGGATTCGAACCTCGGACCGAACTACCAGTGTTCAGCGACTTTACCGCTCGGCGGCTGTTGGGCGATGAGTATAGATTTAGTCTAGAAAGCGATAGTAGGCGGTATTTGATATGGAGAGAAACTGGAACATCGCTGTATGTGCTGTATTGCTTCTAGAGGCGATCATATTCGATATTGAAGGTACTTTTCCTATAGAAAACTGACACCTTCGATTTGTTCATTTTATATATGTGCTAATTTCTATACTACCATAATTGTCTGGTAATTTATTTTTATGTTATTTGATACCTTACCATGTGTTGTATATTGTGGGTAAGTATTATAAAATTCTACTTGTAACTTTTTCAGTAATCGTGATTTTTGTAATTTTTCCTTAATTTATGATAACCAGTGTAGTATGTAACTGATTTTTTTTCGTAAAACAAGAAGCTCATGTGCATGTTTTGCTCTCTACCTCATCATTAATTAAACATAGATTATTCAATAAAGCCAGGAAGTTTAAAGGTTATAGCTTTGAGTTTGTTTCTATAGAAATATATAAAATTACTTCATTGTTTTTCTTCTATGAAGAAATTGATTAATTTAGGTGTTACTGCAAATGTAGACAAATATATTTTAATCTGTTTATTCCTGTTTTCTACTCTGGAATTCTTAAAGTCTTAATTTTAAGGAGTATCTTTTTAACAACATAGAGGTAAGTATCTCAATACTTTATTTTACCGCCACCTCAGTTTACTACTCACAGAAATACGCTGCTCTCCTTAGCACAGTACATCGAAATCCGGTACATGGATTTATTTATAAGTAAAAATATTTAGCTATATATCTGCCTTTTCAAAACTTCAACTTACTTACCTTTCTGCCACAAAATACTTTTGATTGGGTAGCCTCCCACTGGACAATTGAGGGTAAGGTCATGGCCTGATATAGCTGAAACATTAGAAAAAGGCCTGACGAACGGTGGTCCATACACATTAAGTCTTGCAGCGTGCCAAACAGCTCCTACGTCGTTGCTAATGTCGCACCGATATACCCCGCTATCTTCAACACGAGCGTCTGTTATGTTCAAGTAGCTCGTCACGTGTCCTTGAGGTGATATGAAATCTCCAGTTCGTATCCTAGGATTTTGGGTGGAGCTCACAGTTTGATCGTACAATGTCCATACGACACGTGGAACAAAATTCCCTGCAGAAACGCACTTGAGGCTAACGAATTCTCCAGAATGGACAGTTGTATCTGGAAAGGCGGACAGCAAATATGGAGGAACATCTGAAAATGAAAATAAACATTGACAATTGTATTGATGACGAACATAACCATCCGTATTTTTATAAACATAGTCCTTCAGTCGTCGCTATAAATTCTGCAGATTGAAAGGTTAAATAAATAGCAGTCACTTCTGAGCTGGACATATATGAACTTATCTATTTTTCTGAATTCAGGAGTAAAATGAACATTTTAAATTTATTTCGTTTCATACAAAAAGAAAAACTAAGAAGAAATCTTTAATTGGAAACGTTTTAGATAATTGACTTATGAAAAACATGTTTTTATACAGTGTTTTTCATGAGCAGATTTCCCCGTACACCTGCCATTAGGAGATGCATCAAATAACATTGCAAGATATTATTGCCGTGGTGGCTCAGGGCATAATTATTAAACTATTTCAGATACTCAAATTACTTTACAGCAGAACATACACTTTACAAATTTTACAAACATACATTGTGGTGTATCAAAATAGTGTAGCAGTACACAGAAATAAACTTTTAACAATAAGTTGAGTGAATAATAAATTCTCACTTTAAACACTGTTCTTATTAACAAAAAATACACCAAAAAATGGTAAAATAAAGTAGGAAAAAAAAAAGTCTGAAAGCCTTCTGATTTTATATTGCTCCCAAAGCGGCGTTTTCTTAACGTTTTGAGTGTTACTTTTATTTATTAAATATCATATTATTCGCACTTAAACCATAAAATTAAATTCAACAGAAATATCACAAAATATTTAAAAGGAGCGTATCTCTAGAATTTCTGATACGCAGTCTCGGGAGCTGGAGACATATTTTTTTCTTTTTTGTTACAGAGTTGCCATTGCTTGCTTTGAAATCATTGAGTTTGTTAATAAAACATTCATTTACATTTTATAAAATTTGAAATAGATAGTAAAACATATTCCAAATTAGGGCTTCCAGATGCCATCTGCGAGTGTAGGACTACGTTATTTAAAATTTGATTTCCCTAGGCAGCATTGTTTTTCACAATGCAAGAAACATGCATACATTCATGCAGATTTTTCATTATTTAATTTCTTTAAATATAATGCAAGGCCCTTATGTTTGGTGGGAACAATTTGAAAAACAAAACGCCATTTTAGAGTGGACGACGCAGAATGCCAAAACGAAATTAACAGCCTTTCTGCGAAAATGGCCCCTTTTCGCTCATAAAAATTTTTATAACGAGGTATATATCGGCTTCGACGTTTGCAAGCCTGTCGATAATCTGGGCGATTCTTACCAAAAGATGATGTTATTTTTATTCCCTCCCAATGACTAGAATCTGCTTCTAAGCGAAAGTAAGATGCCACAAACTCTAAATAATTACTCGTATAATAATATCGTAATATGTTAATACCCCAAATAATTCAAAGCCACGCATGCATCAACCGTAAAAATAAGATACGATAATCGGATGCAGTATTAGTTGACCATCGGTAATTTCATCTAAATATTGCGTATCATACGTTTGCTTCTTACTCCTGCTTATACAGGCTGCAACCCTCTAAAAAGTATAATTAACTCGTGCTAAAATTAATCAACTCCATTTCGTACGCCATTCCTCTGATATTACTATTTTTGACTCCAAATGATTATATTGACCTAGATTCTCGTAAGATACTAAAGTTTTTGTTTGAAAGAGGGTATAATTTGATTCTTTCGTATACTTTCTTTATATTTCTCTGTAATCTATAGATTCATATAACATAAAGTGAAAAGGACAATCCGAAGTATAACAAATAAATAACAATTTTCTTGCAATAAGTAACATATTCGTAGAACTTTTTGCAGCTTGCACGCAAGGGTAATTTTTACTTCCTTCTGCGGTGCAAAGAAAGCGTTTGAATCGCAAAAAATTTCGTGTATCACATTTCAATGGAAATATCCAGTTCGATCACGAATATTATATATTCACGAATATTTTGTTGAGTGATTTATATAGGTTCGGACAGAATAAAGGATACTATTTTTCCGAAAGGATCGTAAAATTGATTTAAAACAGTTTCAAAACAGACGTTTTGCATGTTTCGCGAATTACTCAGAAACGATTAGCCGTAGAACATTGGAATTTTGTATATAGAACTGCTTATTGCAATCGGCAATACGAAACACATAAATTGTAATTAAATCAAACTTAGAAGTAATAACTAGTAGAAATTTTAATGGCGTAGGCGTTTGAAGTGTTGATCCTTAATCAGTAGGAAACTGAAGGCGAAGGCAGATTAAATATTCATTTTTTATTTCGGCAAACATATTGCGGCCACAAACAAGTTGTCACCCTAAAGGTGCCTATCTCAAAAAGTTTACATTTTTGATAAATTTGAAGTAAGAAAAGAGGAGCAGACAGACTGCAGTCTAGCTAAACGAAAGCGTGGGAAGGAAGTGCGTTATGTTCAGGGTGAAATCTTAATTCCAACTGAGCTAGTTTTGGTTCTCAATGCATTTTGATTGGATAATTAATACTGCTGTAAAATTATTATTCATTGCTTGAATTTTAGTTTCAATTACATCATCAGAATTATGTAAGAGTCATATGACATAGATTTTTCTGGAAATGACGCAGTGCAATAATGTGTTGTATTTTAGAATAGAGAGGGAAATTAATTTACGATGCTAATTTATTCTTTACTATTCTTTATTTTTTTACTTACTATATATATATAATATATCATATACAGATGTGAGTCTATATAAATATAGATATCAAATGTTAAAGATTTATATTCACTTAGTTCGAAATAAGTACTAAATTTATAGGAGATAATATCATCAATATTCTTTTAGTATATATATAATATATATATATATAATTGAAAAGAAATTGAAAAGATAACAGTATGCGTTGTAAGACTATTTGTCTTGAAAATTTTGCGAAAAATGCTGCAAAATATGAAATAATAGGAAGAAATACTGTAGTGACTCGCTAGACGTTATTGATAATTTGACTAATAGAGGACCGATTTATTATTTTTTATTTAATTTTCTTTGCCGGAGTTGCATTTAATTTTCTTACACCTTAATGCGTTTTCTGCGCGCTCGGGAAATTGGAACAGAGAATGCAGCTCCAAAAGATTTTTTCGGGACAATTCATATTATTTAAAAAAAAAAAAAAAAATTTCGTCAAACAAGAGCTTGAATTGTCTGTTTAGGCGAAACGCGTAATGGTGTTAGCTTAGTTCGACATTCAACTAAATTTCCCTTTAAAAGCCTAGTTGGAGGTCCAATTGGGCTAATTTACCATTTTCCGCTTTGTAATTTTTATAAATTTTACAATTTTTGCAATTTATGTTTTAATTTTGTTTTAACTTGTTCCGTCGATCAGGTTTTTATATGTGTTAACTTTCCACATGTCACATCGATAGGTTTTGCTCTTTTTTTGTGCATTAACATGTTTCCAACAATAGATTTTAACAGTTTTATGTTCTATATTTTATCTCGCGTGTAAGCTGTTTTTTCACCTTTCCATGTTTATATTTTAACAATTACTTCCATGTTAATTTTTAAAAGATACTGCGTTGAACTATTTCTTGGAGCCACAGCTCATGGTAACTTTTTAGCGAGCTCACTACAATATTTCTTCCTATTATATATATAATCTATATATAATATATATATATTGGGATTGTGAAAAGTAATTACACAGCCTTTATTTTCGCAATCGCTACTCGTAGTCATATACATTCAAACACACAAGTATTTTAAACGATGAAAATGCTCATGCTTTGGCAATGTAGAATTAAAAAAATAATGAATTGGCATATATAACGAAATCTAACTTTAATGCTGTCTTCTCGTTCCTATACTTACATTTGGAAAAGTTTTATACTCGTTATGAAAATGTAAAATTATAAGAATTTTTTTTAAAAATTTCATATTATGAAGCTATAAAGTAATAAGACGCTACTAATATTGACCACGATATTTGATTTGGAAATTTTGATGTTAGTTTCAACTCGGCTTGAGATTATCGGTTAAGTTAAAAAAATTCGCGGAAATAAGTTTAAATGAAGTACAGCAAAAAATATGCATCATTTAAGAAGCCGCACAAGGAATTCATGTCATATCTACATCATATTTTTTATTTAATTTATTTTTATGAAGAATTAGAATTGTAAAGTCTGGCTTTTAAGAGAAAATAATTTTGCAACGTAAACACTCTTAAAACTATATTTTAGACAAAATTAAATATTCACCTCCAATCTTTATCTGCGCAGTAGCTTGTGCACCATCCATATCATTGTAAGCGAAACACTGATACATTCCCTTATCTTCTCTTCTTACCGACGTTATATGAAGCACATCTCTTGAAAGTAACTGAACTCGGGCATTCGCCACCAGGTGTCTTTGGTCTTTCCGCCAAGTGATCGTATGAATAGGATGGCCGCTCACAGAACAGTTTAGTACGGCGGTTTCCCCAATATTTAGAGTTTGGAGCTCAGGAATAATAGCCACTCGTAATGGAGCTGGAACAAATTATCTAATTATTGTTTTTATTTATGTGCTAAAGAAAGATATGTATAATTACAGGAGATGTTTACGTATTTTAGAACGATTTCAGTGCCGTTTATTTTTTAAAATGTAAAGAGTACAGTCATTTTTCTAGACTATAAGTCTAACATCGTGATTTCCATGACAGAAAGACTTTCGTCAAGTTTAGAGGGGTAACGATTTCTAATTCTCTTCCGCTACTTTCCAGAGTGCACACACAAATTGTGGTCATTTTACGCTTACAGAGAGCTCTTTCCAAGAGATGAGAGTAATTTATTTTGGTCTCTTGGATATATCTGTAATTTCTACATTATTATTTCTGTAATTTCATGCATTATTTTTTCAAAAGGAAATTGACATAGATAAATAATTTTTATTTATGTATGAAATTTAATAAAAACACATTTAAGATGTTAAAGATTAAAAGACATATAAGATTTTATGTAGAAGAGATTCGTTAATTTAATTTACATTTTAACCTCCAGAAAACATTTATATCAGCTTTGAGATACAATGAATTGCACAAAATGTCCCTGCAACACTGTTTATTTTGACTTGCTTGGAGGTCTTCCACTCTGAGCTTATAAATACGTCCAAAACTGTCTTAAAATCTTCTTAATATACACTTTAAAATTTTACTGAGAAACGAATACACGTTAAGGCTGACACAACGGGAGAAAAAGAAAACTTAATGGTTAACAGACACACGTCACTACAAATTATTTCTTATATTTTTCCTGATAATGAATTGTAATATTTTTATGCTTTCATATGCATAATAAGTAAAGTAATTCCATTTTGAATAAATATTTGACTTCAAAATATTTTATATACTTGCGTAAATCTTTAATCATGTTTTTCGTCAAAAAATTTCATTAGTTTTAAGGGTAAAAAGAAACATTTTTAATGAAAATCAGCTTTAGTTGTTTACATAAAGTTACGGTTCTAATTTTGTAACGTTTACCTATATGAATGGCGAAATTATTCATAAAGTTTTTAATAACATGTTTCTACACGAATGTCGAAATCATACATAAAATTAGTGTGTCAGTCTTCTGTGTGGGACCTACTGTAGAAAATAATGAGATTTGCTAAAAATATAAATATTTACACCAGTGAAGATTGAATTTAATTTGCATATTCTAAAATATGCGAAATATTTTGCTTAAAACTTTTTTAATAAGATTTTTTTAATAAGGAAGACAACGTGTTAGTGTTTTTTGATAAAATATTTAATTTTTTAAATATTTAATTTTTTAGTACGAAAAGAAGTATAAACTCAAATTTACCTGTAACTACAAGAACAGTGTCCGTGCGTTTGTCTCCAATACCATTCGTGATAATACACTGGTATTTTCCTCCATCTGATATCATTACGTTTTTAATATGTAGAGTTCCAGACGTGATTTTTATCCGCAAATCTTCAATAACTGGATATAAGCCATTGGGTGTTTCTTTCATCCACCTGATAGGATGGAAAAATTACATATATGTATATATAAACCAGAAATTATTGTTAACGTTTTATTGTTGGAAAATAAATTTAATAAATAAATAAATACAAATATAAAAATTAAAAACTATGTTCCAATAAAATTCCAGTTTACCAATGCCTTGGTCTGCCATTACCATATTATTGATCAAAGACATAAACGGCTGCGCCAGTGATTTATGGCAGAAGGTTGGATTAAGTAAACTATCAATAAATATAATTTTATCTGCTAGAGCGTTAATACTAGTCTACTTAATTGTATTTAAGTGACTATTACTTCCTCAGCATGTTTGCAGTGCGATTCGACAAGTATTCATTTTCATCTTGTGCCCTACGTTGCAATGGACAAGTGCTATTTAGTTTTAATCTTCTGTTTAAAATTTTTATTGATGTTCTATTCAGTACTTTCAATGTTGTATTACGTTTCTGAAGTGACAGGTTTTGCAGATGCCAAAAAGTGTGACCAATTTAATCTTTAAATAACAATATCAATCGCTAAATTACATTTGCGTGATGATAAGCTTTTTCGTACGGTAAATGAAAGCTAATTTTTGCATTAAGAATATAGAAGCGAAATTTTGACCATATTGTCTTATATTTACTTAAATCTAGCAATTTTTTTAACTATTTCCCTTGCACTGAAAAAACTGTTAGCTTATTGTATACGCATATCCATTACTGCTGTGACGAGAAAAAAAGTACTTATTTAAAGATGTTAAGTTCATAAATGCTGACTTGAATAAATTTTAAAATTTTTAGTTATGAACAAAATTTAGAAACCTCTTTTCCCTCAGTTTTATGCCACTAAATGAAAACATATTTTAGTTCAGTTGTCATATTTTCAGTAACAATTCAATGCTATGATAAGATAAGATAAATCTTGTCTGCCCTACCCCGTGAGCTAAGCACATTACAGGTATACTCCCCTTTTGGACACTTCGTGTAGGTTCAACCTCCACTATTACCCTTCCAGGGGAGCAGCGCACCACATGGATACGACACCAGGCAACACTGGTCGTCAACTGCTCCTGCCAGTCGCATGGGCGAGCCGGTCGCAGAGGGTCGTTACCCAGCAAACCGGGGGGGGGATAACCGCCGGGCTACGGACTAAACCACTCAGGAGATGCCAGACTCCGAGGACGGCCAATACGTGACCTTTCCCAGAGCCTTCAGAACCACCAAGTTCATAAATTTTATATCCCCGTGGCCGAGACTGCCAAGGTACAGATCCTAGCCAGTAGCTTCGCAGAGTTGTCTACGTCGACCCCCGGGAAGAGAAATGCTATGATAAAAAAAATGTCAATTTTTATTAATAATAATGCTTCGTTATGTAATTTACAGCCACTTGTAAATTGAATTTAGTATATTCGGATAGGGGCATATTCATTGATTTACTTAAATTCTATTCTGTGATTTAGGACATAATGCATTTTAAAGCAAAACATATTTCGTGTCTTTATATAAAAGTTATTGAATTTCATTAAAATATATTCTAATTAATTTTCCTACAAAATACTTCCTTGTAAAATTTATACAACAGAAAAAATTCCTATTCCAAAAGAAATACGTAAGTTTAGTCTTATTTCCTCTTTTATTTATACTTTGTACCCAGTTCATTTCTATGCCTTCATACAAAGATTCCAAAATTTCTTTTTTTTTTTTTTTTTTTTTTCCCAATAGACTCTTTATTTAAATAAAACTATATCCATTATCAATTAAAATTTCTTCTTCAGAAACATTTATTTCATGGCATTTAATTTCCTAAGCAAAATCTTTTGTCGTTTACATTTTTCAATCATTCATCAGAATAGCATAAATGTATTCTTATCGTCTGAAGGTAAATGAAATCGGCAAGGACTACATACTGAAAGTACTGACGCTAAGCCAATGGGAGAGAAGCGTCCATTCAAATAACATACATTCAAACAGCTATAAAAGAATAATTGAGAACTCCTTTAACCAATGGCTTTTGCCATTGGGCTGTATGTTAAGAGGGTGGAATGAGCAATTAAGTAGTCATCAACACAATTCAGTTAAGCCGCTCATTTCCTATGCGGACAATTCTCAACTTTTCGCTGCAGGACAATTTATGAAGGATAATAGAATATAGACCAGTTATGATCAACCTGCACTTAGGGCACCACAGATATCACAGGATTGATATGCTCAATCATCCGATCTCATTTCCATTGATAGTTAAGGGACCACCCAGAACATCTACACTATCTCACCCCCAATCAAGTCTATTGAAAAACTACACTGGCGGTTAAACAATGCATGGGCTTAACTTTCGACGAAGTGTTTCATACCTTGATTGGCAGATTGAAGAGAGGTGTTGTTTATATTTGTTAGCATAGATTAGATTTGCTTCACAGCTGGACACAAACCGTGTTAAAGTTAATATTCATTTTGATTATTTAATAACATGTTTTCACCATCTTTCCTTCACTCATGTGGCCATATGGCCATACTCTTCAGAATTTCAACCTTTGCTAACTACCAGGGCCTGAGGAAAATTTCTTTTGGAACTATAATAACCTTTTCAATGGTTATTATAGTTACCTAATAAACCTTTATAATCCTAAAACTTAAACAAAAACCTTTTAACCCTAAAACTTTATAACCCTAAAACTTTACAATCCTAAAACTTTATAACCTTAAAACTTTATAACCCGAAAAACCCTAATAAACCTTTATAATGCAATATTCATTACTGTTGCGAATTACACAAAAATTTTCTTTAAATAACATATTAATTTACTATTTTGTCATTTAAGAATATTTAAACAAAAATCTACTTTCAGCATTCTATATGTTTTGTTTTTATGCTTTCAGTTTACTATGTGTTGTATAAATCACAAGTTGCATTTAAACTAGGATCTTATTTTCCACAGAAAAAAACTCAGATAAAGTGAAGAACCGAAACATGTCTTACAGATTTTATAACAAAACTTAATTGAAAAAACTACATAAATAAAATAAAAATAATGAAACTCAATTGCTCACCAATTAATAATCAAGAAACACATACGATAATATTGTTGTTAATCTGAAAGACCGTTTTGTCTTATGTCTACTTCTAACTTCAGATTTCATGTTTGATTCACTACATTTCATTAGGATATTTAATAATATAGTTTGCAACAAGTAAAACTTCAATAGTTGATAATATTTCTTTTGTTCATTTAATATAATTTTCTTGCTTTAAATTTGAAATAGTCACTTTAGTTTCCGCTAATGATTTTACAAATTTTCAGTTTTCTCTCTTCTTTTCATTTATCTATCTTTTAATCTATTAAAAAATGTTGTATTTTATATTCATTTACTGAATTTTATTTTTAAATAACACGCTTAAAAGTTTAAGCATAGTGCATTTGTTGTACACTGCGGGGGAAAAAAATGGGACAGTTCGATATCTCCCGTTCTACTGGGCCGATTGACGAAATTCAACTTGCGTTTTTCATGCCTCGAAAGCGCGACGTAGGACATGTATTAGATTTACGTATAGTACTGTTTTAATATAGGTATTTTGACACAAAATCGGACATTTTCTGAAATGACATGCCAATTTTTGTTTTCCATATTTCGATTTTACGACTCAAATTATGCCGAACTGCCAAGATTTGTAAAACTTGCAAGAATACTTTTTTAAAAAATTAGCTTCTCAACGTCAATTGAATTTGATATATATTTATTAATATCTCTTTTTTTATTAAACGTACCTGATTCTTTCTTCCGGAATTCAAAGTTTAGGCTTAATCCATACATAATTCGCACAATTTTATGATTTATTTTTAAAATTTGTATTTTTAAATAATTTTTGTAATTCTTTGAAAAACATTTTGATTATAATCTAAAAAATTTTAACATCATCTTAAAGTAGATGTATTTCTAAGCATATTTGCAAGAAATTAGAGTATTTTATTCAAAATTTCCTAAGATATACGTGAATTTACATTTTGACGCGTTTTGAAATTTGGCGTATTTAATATAAATGATAATAATGAAAAATGTGGTTTAAGCACTTTGTTAAAATTATTTGAAAGAATGAACGATGGACCTTTTTTTCCTTTCGTGCATCAATGAGAAAACAGGAAAGTAAGTTACTATAAATTAAGAATTCCTCCAAATGAATAATTCTTGGTGCAAATTAAAAAAACAGTGCCAAGATAAATTTTTAGCTTTCTCACCAAAAATTATAAAATTTAATAACTAGGCACAATTTGAATCGTAGAATGAAAATATATGAAAATTTGATATGTTAATTCATAGAGTGCAATTTTATGTCAAAATGCCTATGTTAGAATAATGCTATATATAAATCTAATATCTATCCTATGTCGCGATTTCGAGACATGAAAATCGCTATTTGAATTTCGTCAGTCGGCCTAGTAGAATGGGAGATACAAAAACTGCCCCCCCCTGTTTTTTTGTGTACCTGTATTCATTGTATTATATACGCATTGCGTTAATATGCATGTATATAATTATGCATTAAGTATACATATACTTTAATGCCATTATTTTATAATTTAAACCTTCTAGTAGCAAAGTAGATTAAACCACGGAGCATGATTAATTACATTTTGGATTATATCCGTAGTGCGAAACAAATGATTGGTTTAATGTTTATTTTCGTGGTTTTCTCTATACATACACAAATTAAAAATAATTTCTGTCCAAAAGACTTCTATAAAAATTTCCTTTCGATAAAAATAGCTTTTGTAATTTTGCCTTAATAAGTTGCATAGCTTCCTGCAAAGTGTATTTCTAATTACTCAGCTCAAAGGATATTTTATTCAGAAATTTGTATTTTCTATTACCGTCTTAATTCAGAAAACCTTCTGATAAAGAAATAGATAATTATATTTCTTTCCCTATTTCCTTTATTTCACTGATATACAGTTTTTAAATAATATTTTGAAACTGCTACTAATTCACAGTATAAAAGTGAACAATGAAAATAATTTATT